AAGTTAATCATTGTTAAACTTATGTTTTCCTTTATATTTTGCAAATTCTTGCAAAATGCTCGAGATAACGGCTGGATATTTAATTATCTCGCTCTGTTTTTCTTCGAGAAAAACTTTTTCTTCGAAAAAGTGCGGACATTTGTAACATGATTAAATTCGCATCGTACCAAAAACTCGTGGGAATGAAGTGGATGAACACGCTCGTTGTTTTAATTCTACGAGTCCCACGTTAATGGGAATATTATTAAAATCAAGCTCGTTCGTGGCAATTGTCAATTTGTTTTCATTCGCGTGCTCTACCTTTTTTCCAAAATTTCCTACATATAATGTGGCATAATACGATACTCTCTTACACATCATAAAATCTATTCTCTTTTCGGGAACAGTATAAAAATCTCTCGTGAAATGTACGAATCGCACATATTCATTAGAAGCTCTTATACAAATGCAAAGTTTCTTCTTATCGGGATTATTGTATTTATACGAAGAACATTGGCGTGTACAAGAGTGTGTTCTATAGGGTGATCATTAGGAAGTTGCTGGAACTAAATAACTGCTATTTTATAACGAGTGGAAACGAGTAGAATGAAGTGAATTAAACACTTTTTGCAGAGAAAACCCGCCATTTTTATTGCCGTGTAATGCAAAACAAAATTTTTATAAATTTGTAAAAATAAACATAATAGAAAAGAGCAAAAAATCGGCTACAGGTGTGATTTAGTGATATGTGTATATATATATATATATATATGTTTTTGAAATGATAATATCTGAATTTGCACAATAATCAATACGTTTTCGAAAATTATAGAATACATGTTCTAACACAGATAGAGAAATGACCTGAATATATTCTCGAACAGATATTTTCAAATCATTTAGTGTTTGCGGTATTTGGACATAACAATTGTCTTTCATGTACCCTCAATTTTGTCACATGTGGAAAAGAAAAAAGAAAAAAATCGCAAGGATTTAAATCTGGTGAGTAGGGTGAGAGACTTCCCATTGGCATCATCTGTAAAAATAATTTGCTTTTCGTTAAGATCCCCGTTTTCAAACATTTCGATCACTGTGTTGTAAAATTGCATTCGCTTCTCCATAGCTGTTAGGTTTAACAATTGATGGGTTATTTTATTTGAGTATAACTTTATTTATTTTATATGATTATAACTTTATAATATTTTTTACGATTGTTCATAAATTTTCCCGTTTTAATGTCCAAGAACTTAAGCAGCTTTCCGAACGGAAGAATTTGGATTCGTTTCAAAATATTTCTCGATGTCTTCGATAGTTTTTTCTGTCATTACAGCATACGAGGGTCCAGATAAATCGTGCCTTTGGACATGTAATGTACGATATGTGACAAAATTATCAATAATCTCACACAAAACTATCGAGAAATCGAGAACATCTTGGACAATTAACACAACGCGACATAATGGAGGAGTAATATCCACGCGCCGTTACATAAAAATCTAAACCTTTTCAGTGTGTTTTCACTCGCAACTTGTTTCGATCCATATTTTGTACAGAATCCACGATATGCATTTGCGTAAATCTTTCCTCTTCCATAAGAGCACTCGATGAGATATACCTTCTCTTCGATGGCAAGGTCCCTCATGTTTCTTTTCGTAAACTGTTTTCTATAACGGCTGAAATAAAACTGACGAGTTTGTAGTACACGATTATACCGTACCGTATTAACCTTCGTCAGACAGATAGAAGAAAGTTATAGATATTTATTTTCATCAACTTCTTAATGATCATCCTGTATATTACGCAACAAATTCTATTATCTACGATGCTCGGCGGTACTTTTTAAACTGAACTTTTCCCTCCGTTGAAAATTCGGGAGGGTCACATATCTCGCACATCGGCAGTGCGATATCACTCGTCGGTATACGAATCGGTTTATTTACGACTGCGGTGCGAATATATGTTTCACGAGATTCTTCCGGTGTCACAGGCGCAAGATGTGCATCATCCACGCTATCACCTGATACGTGAAATGCAATATAACCATGCCGAGTATCGTTAAAAATATCGCCGCTCGCGTCGTGCAGTATGCGGCCGTTGCGTTACTTTGACGCACACATCTGTTACGTGAGTCGTATTGCATTTTAATACGTGCATACGGGGTGTCCCTGCAATCACATACTATCTCTCGCGCACAGATATTTAAGTGCCACACTTTAACGCTACCATATTAATTCTTTCGAGTCATAAATGACGGAGACGATTGAAATTATATTAGTCAATTCTCAGCACAAGGTTCCACAAGCTAACCGAATCTTATTTCCAATTAATCTCAATTATTTCATTGGAATTGTACGTCCTCGATGTATCGATATGACGCGAGAACAGCGTTTAGTCAGCATTGTATTTCTCACGCAAAAAAAGAAAAGAGACGAGACAAGAAAGTTGTCTCCAAAAATATCCGGTATTATAAAAATGAAGAATTAAGCATAAAGTCGTTCACGCGTTTATGGCTCCTCGCCGAGGAAAACTCGGCCTCTTAACGCGCACACCCCGTATATACGGAGCTTTCGCGACGAGGAGGAGAAAAAGGCGTAGTACTCGTGTGGGACGAGCGTAATTCGAGGTAGCATCTCTCTCTCTCTCTCTCTCACGTGCACTTTTGTGCATCCACTTACTGGCTCGCGTGTGCACATATGCTTTGTGACGCGCTCTGCGACTTGTCATTCGCGCGTCGTGTGCGTCCCGGAGTTATTTGTGTTTCATTGTGATGCGAGTTCATTCTCCTTCCCGCTGCGGCTCCGTGTGCCAATGAATGAGACTACTTGCGCGCCCTGAGCGTATATCACTCCGAGTGTCATCGTCGTAGAAAAGATCGTTATCGCGGATCGAGTGTCCGGGATTCTAGAGTTACTCGGTGGATAACAGCTCTCGCGTTAAATCTCGCGTTAATTTATGTCGTCCGAAGCCTTTACGCACAAACTTTATCTCCGGCTGATCGTCTTGATCTCATAGAGATTTCGTCAGCGTTGCTTTAAGAGTAATCGTGACCGAGCAATGTAATTATGTCGAGACACAAATCAAAAGATATCGCCGGATTTTAATTACGAAACGTAATTAGCATTAATCGACGCTGTATTCGACGTTGCGTGTGTAGCGCTGTGCCACGGTAAATTCGCCAATCCAGAGAGAGAGAGAGAGAGACGGAGCGAATGGAGGAGTTAACGTTCGCCAATCGGAACAATGCGCCTTTCGCGAGCGGTCTTGCAGTCCCCAATTAGGCTGATCCACGGGAATTAATTGCGTTTCGATGGAGACGATGTGGGCGTCCCGATTATCTTCGCGATGGCATTTTCCTCGTTACTCACCAGGTTAAAGCGCGCCCTAATTCGATTCGCTGCAGATGGGAGCGCATGTGTGTGTGTGTGCGCGCGCGCGTGCACATACATTACAGGATAATTTCCTGACCGGGCAAAGGCCGCGACGTGACCGGGTCCTGTTAGGAAAAAAATTTAGGGTCTGACGCTCACGCGAGCGAAAGCGCCGGTTACGACGCTGTATTTTCGATTACCGTATCTATCTTACGAGATAAATCGCGCGCGACCACACGTCGCGCCTAAATCAAATTTGAATAAAGATAATGAACACACACCACGCGTATGATTTACGCACAGTGGTTGTCGTTTTAGCAGCTCGCGACACTGAATTGACAAAATGGTACTTTCGCGCGAGCGTGAAAGTACAAATGCTCGTCCGTAACACGAAACATTACGACGGTAAACGACGAATTCGCACTTGACTGCTGTTTGACTCGTATTTTTTCATCGAATGGCTAAGCGTGCCACAGGTGCCGCTCTCTCGCACGGCTCACGTAACACCTGGCCCACGGCCATAATTGCCTCGCGCCTGGTATCTCTTCCTCGTTTAAATAAAATATTAGAATCGGCGGATTAGACACCTGCGCGGGTGGAAGCTGCGATCGAGCTCTCGTATATCGAGATATGCATCCCGTATCGCTCGTTACCTCCGAGACGCGCGCGCTAATTTTAATTCTCGGCTGCGGCAATTACGCATCTCGTGTGTTCCAAGTGCCGTGCGTTGTTTATTCTAGTTGGGCGTCAATATCTCGCCGTAAATTTTACGCTAAGGCTATCCCTTGCTCGCGCGCGCGTTAACTCTATTTCGAGTCTCGTACTCTCAACCGTCTCGGCGCGGTATTTATTTTTAGTTAACTTCCTAAACGTTCTCGCAGCTAACGGCAGGGTCTATTTCGGCTCGCGATTCTACTTGTACGCGTGATGAACACCGGCGGCGGTCCTTCGAAGTGTCACGTTGCGCTCGTTTGTCGTCGATAAGATTAGACGTGTTTATGAGATTGCACGGTTGAACTCTACTCCCCTCTCTGTCCCCTCACCGCTGGTATATAAGCTTTTTTTACATGACCGCACCGATACCGGAAGACAATGCAGAGGGAAGTAAGCGCGAATAGCGGATTCCTCGCGATACTTGCATTCGAATTCGTGTCGAAATATTTCCAAATCTGTGATATATTCGTTCTCTCTTCAAGCTTTAACGCGTTCGGCGGGGTTCATAAGGAAAATGCAGAAATACTCGCCGACTCGCGTTCATAAATTAAGCGCGCGTTAATAACGTCGGTTCTAAAAACGGTTATAAGTTTGCTGTTTACCGGGATCTTAATAACGGAATACGCGACCTCTTTGGGAATTCCTCCTCGCGTGACAAAGTACGTTGCGTTAAAACCCACAATTTTTCTGGCATTATGTCATATTCGCAAACACGTGATAAAAGCGTTGGGTGAAATTGCTGAGTCGTGCGTCGGCAGCTGGCGTCGGCTCTAAAGACGATTATCGAGCGTATGAGACGAAGGACTCGTCAGACACGGAAGGATCCTTTAGTTACCGAGTCGGGAAATATTTACGGTCTTTAATCTCCGCTGATAATCTCAACCGGCAGTTCCTCCACCTACTAACTCTGATGTTCCGCGTGCTTCTTGCGTGTTTCAGGTAGCGCGTCGTCCGTGGAGCAGAAGAACGGCAATGGCAACGTCAAGGGCAACAAGACGAACAATAATGGTGTCGAGGTGAACAGAAACGAGGACCAGAATGGCAGTGTTGACGCCAAGGGACAAGCGAGGAAGAAACCAAACGCTCCCGGGGGCGGACCTTTGTTGCAACAGGCGTAAGGACGATTTTCAAGTTTAAGCTATCTATTAACACGAATTGTGCGTTTGCCGATGATGTATGTGCGTCGATCTCTACCGGCTTTCTACCGCCTTGATCTTCCATCTGTCGCGTTAAACCGTTACAAATGCGTTAAAAATTATGCTTTGGATTTATTATCTTCTCGATTACTTCCTGCTTGGTAAATGGTATTCGCATTCTCCGAAGAAAAGAATCGCATGCGCACGAGAAGATTGCGATTTCGGACTTATTATATTTGCGAATCACTCTTGTTAATTCCATCGCGTATATATCTTGTGTGTTACGTTAGAACGTTAGAGTTTCGTGAATTCAGCGTTCCACGGCGCCGTTAATAGAATTCGCATTTTGTATTTACACTGACGTGGTGCAATTTAGAGAACTTCGTCTACATTTAACTCAGATGAATTGCTACTTTGAAGATTAAACCGTTCACTCTCCGTAACTGTGCTGGTAAACATTTGCCGGAAACTTGCTGCATATACTTGCGCATAGGGAGCTTATTTTGCAAGCGTGCACGCGTGATGCGAATTCCAACAATCTTGACGAATGTCGTTTCAATATGTATCCCCTATTTTGCATTTAAGTTACCTCCATTCGAGAATTAATTTGAATTCGACGAAAATGTAGCAAAACTCGAGGAAGGGGGAGGGGGTCATATCGCGACATCAGTTATCGAGACTACGATGCGCGTCCAAAAGTTACTTGTTGCTGCTCCGTTTTCCCTGCAAAAAGCTCGAATAATCGTGTTAATTATTGCAGTTTGGCTTTTGCCAAGCGCGTAACTGGTTGTTAGTCGTAGTTTACGAGCAACCGTAACGATAAGTTTGAGCACGGGCTTACGGTCTCGCTCTAACTAAACGAGATTATTCCAAGCGTGAGCAACTTATTGCATGTAGTAATTGACCTTCTTGTGTATCTTGTATTTTTCAGAGAGGTATCCACCAGCCAGCTAGATTTCTTCAAGATGCTCGACGAGAAAATCGAGAATGTAAGTTGCGATACTCCAACTTAATCAGCTTTATCCGGAAAGAAACGGCTTCTGTTTGCGAAAGAACGCTCGTAATTTTCTGTCTCCCGTGCGATTGCTTTACGAAGAACAATAGACCTTCTGATCAGGAGTGTAGACGGCCTAAAGATAACTATCTCCGATATCACTGTTATCCGAGAACGTATTTTTCGTAAAACTCGTTCGTATTGTCGTACAATCGACGCGGGAAATGTCATTTTCTATAACGTGGTTCAACAAAAGAGTCACGCGCGTAATTTAGAACTGATATAATTGTAAATATATCATATAAATATACAGCAACTAGCTAGATAGACTTGAAGATTCGTTGACGACTGTCGATTGAGCCTTTTATTGCAATATCTCTTACTATTGATTGCGCTTCGCTTTTTAAATCTATTTTCGTTCGAGAATCACACGATATCGGTGTATAGATTACTTCTTTCTTTGTCATTTTTGTACAAAGAGCCTTTATGAGCCGCGCTGCCGGATCGATGAGCTTTTCGCTAAGCCTTTTTCGTGGAGAAACGATTGGCTATAAACTACGAGCGGGACGAAAGAACTCGGATCAAAAAGTTACGATGTATTAAAAGAGAGATGCACGCTAAAGGTTGAAACGTAATCCTTACAATTATTAACGCGCGTATCTCTTCGATACGGGCTGGCGATAGGCAGGCTTCGCCCGATCGCGAAATCCCAATCGCGGAAATTAGTCACAGTATCGAGATAATGAAAAAAGTTTGCATTATTCATCCCGCGGCAAAATGTTTTAAAAGTTTTAATTAAATTTGGCTCTGCTTCTTGATGAAATAAATAACATCCGCAAGCTAAAAGTTTCTGTCTCCGTCGAATTTCAGGGGCCAGATTACGACGAGAGCCTCGACACGAGCAACAGAGCCGAGCGAGTGTCCAGCCTGCTTCGGCGTTGGGAACTCGCCAGTGTCACCTGGTCCAGCGTCTCCGATCTGAACAGCACCTGTTCGCCGTCTAATCAGAAGAGCCGTACGTCCGTGTTGAGCAGCTCCAGACAAAGTCTAAGCGCCACGGACCGGGAAGGCATGAGGAACATAGTGGGCGGCAGGCCGGAGAGCGCGCCCATCTATGTGCGAAATGCGAATCGCATGGACGGCTTGCAGGACAGCCATTGTCCATCGCCGAATATGCCGCGGCACGTGCTCGAATCCATCAGCCAGAGCCCGACGCAGAGCGTGAAGAATTCGGCGACGCCGCCGGGATGCGCGTCACCCATCATCGGCTCGTGTTACCATCAGGACGATTACGGCAAGGAGTCCCCGGCCGAGCAACGACACCAACAACACAAGAAAATTTCCTCCCCGTATGCCGTTCAGAATCCGGTGAATGGCGAATACGTGACGCAGCAGGCGCTCTATCGCGAGCAGTACCTGCAACAGACCGGCATAATCACCGTGACACCTCAGTACTCGGCCGGCGGGCCCGGCGGCAACGTTCTCAGGAACAACCCGTACGTTCAGCACTTCCAGATCGCCAATACCCAGCACCCCTTTTCCGCGCCGAGAAGGCGCGGTTTTAACGCCGCGCAAATGACGTGACCGGGATGGGAGCGATCGGCGAGATAAGACTGAACTCTACGAGAGCCACCGGCCCGTCGAAGAGCCACGAGAGAGAAAGACGAGGAGAGCTTCCTGGGCCTGGTGATGGGAAGAGAGGAAGAAAGATGAAAAGGAAGAGATCAATTCGGCGGCAATGACTGCGACGCGAATAGTGTTCCTAAAGAAGGTCTCGCGCACTTCGGAGTTTTTTCCTCGATTTGTTTGACAAGAATCGAGGAAGACGGAAGTGCGCGAAATCTGACGAAGGGCCTACGAAGATTGATCCGGTGGTCGAAGGAGGAACGAGGAGATGAGCGCGCGCGACAGAGATTCTTCACTGTAATAAGTGCCAAAATGCAATCTGAGGTATCGCGCGAGAATTGAGAGGGGAGAGAATTTCTCGTACGTCCTCTCCGCGCAAATACGGTACTCCGTTCTACATGATCATCCCGCGAGGAAACTTGCGACTCGATGCGTTACGCTCGTTTCTAATTCCCCCTCCCCCCTTTTTCTTTCCAATCGGTAGCGTCTCCACCCACTACACCGACGAAAAGGACAGGACAGAAACAGACGCGAGCGCGGATTCCGCCGTAGCGTTTTGTATAATTGTATTAGAGATGTGTGCGGGGAGTGTATATGTACGTATGTATGTATGTATGAAAGAGAATACGTATGTGTCTGAAATGAACAAAAAAGGAAAGATCGAAATTAAGATTCTTGATCGTACGCCGTGTATAGATTCGCTGTACGTATTGTATGGATACACTTAACTTAATGTGATGACTGTATATTTATATGTTGACCATGTTTAAAAGTTAACGATATATAATAGTTGATGATGAGAGTTTTATATTTCATGTTACGATTACGCTCTATATACTATGGAATACACATAATCAAATTCGCTGCATCACTCTCGAACTGTCGATCTATACTTTTTGTTCTGTTGAACACGATCCTCTTTTTTTACAAATAAATTCATAATTTCTCCCTAATTATACGCTCTCTCTTTCTCTCGTGATCATTGTCACTTTTACAGGTTTAACAAACGAAGAGGGGGATTTTTTTTCACAACAGTAAGTAGCAAATCGAGCGTGCAACGCGTGATCGTAACGAACTTTGCGGTTGTGCCGGTGCTGACGGTGCAATTAATAACACTATGTTGAAATCGGTGCAAAATTCATAACTACTGCAATTGCCGCACAGTTGCAATTTATCGCTCCCCCGTATCGAGCATCGACGTTTTTTTATATTTATAACGACATCAGGAATCGTAGGGTGCATTTCTTGCTATACGAAATACACTACTTTAGAAACTTTTCCTTTCTCAGTGAGAATTTCATCATAATTAAGATATTTTTAGATACTGTCTCAGCGGTAACTTTTGTGATAATATTTCTCTTAAATCCAATTGCAATCGGTGCTGAAAAACTGCAGAAAAAGATTTCCAATTGTCTATTTGCAGCGTGACAATTTAATTTGTTAAAATCTTATGTCTGCTGACGTTTAACAACTGCGTCGTATCGGCTCTCATCATGAATACTTTCTGCAATATTTTTGTGGAACGATTTACAATCTAACAAGCGTCTAATTCATCTTAAACATATTTCAATAGTCGACAAGGCGAACATTTTGTCTCACAACGTATTCTGACACGTATATCAGGTATGACTGCGATTCACAGGCAACGCCCTAACATAATACTGCGTCTCATTTGTCTCAACAGAGAGAAAGACTAAGTTTTAACATTGAAACATCACTTTCCCCAAGCGACTCGAAGACTTTACGGTGACATTAAACTATCAGCAGGACTTAATGTCTATCGATCGGTTTACAAGTTGCGTTTAACACTCGGAGACGCGATCGCCCGCATCGGCGCGAATAACAAGCAACGAGCACAGTCTGGACGTAATCCGATTTGACATTTAATGAGATTTAGGTGTCCCGGAACCCGTACGATACATAATCGCATTTATTCGCCAAAGGCATACGTTCTCGTCCATGGGAAACTTCTCATTGAAGCCTGAACATACCGTTATTTTCGCTTGAGTTGCGTTCATTATACGATATTATGCGATTCGCGCATCGCAAATAATTCTCTCGTTATCGAAGTTTATTTTCCGGCAACACAAGCGTTTAGAGATTCCCAAGCAAGCTTTCGTCGGAGCCGTTTGAGAGACGTAGCGGTACAGGCAAGTCACTTCCACGGAGGAGAAACGCGAGTCGCACGGCATACAGATCATACAGATTGATCTTCATTTTTTAAATTGGGTTACATCGGTTGTTTACGAGACACTCTCCAGTACCAGTACCAAACTCGGAAAGTGAGATATATTTGTGTAAAAACTAAAGTTGTTTAGACTGGCACACGTCGAATTTTCAGTCTCGTCGAGACTGCGGCGATACTGAGGTGTGTTTCGTTTCGGAATCGCAATTTCTGAAATGTTCTACTCATCGTCGTTTTACGGCCGGAAACGAGAACACGATCCGCGATCATTTTCAACGTAAGTATGTCAGACATGTGATTTCCCGTTATATCGAAATCGAGAGGGGAATATTTATTTCCCGTGAGCAATTTATATAAGCAATTTATATAAGCAACAATATCTGACAGGTATCCCATTGTGATCCCATTTTTTACGCTCCGTAACTTAATCTCTACAGTGTGATTTTTGAAGTGTTATATTTTTATATATATTAAAAAAGAATTTCGCTCACTTTGTGGCATCTTGCAAGCGAGCTACTCGCAAATTTCTTGAAACGATCTTCGACAAAGTTATCCTTGACACGCAGCCTGGAACAGGTGCGTCGTGCACGTGGAGTCGAAGGACACCGAAGACAGCGTCATCTACCGACGGTCTTGTGTAAAATGGCCGCGTCTGTCAAACGTAAATTTCACTGACAGAAGCGAACGCTACAGGATATATTGGACAAATACGCGCGAAGCGAGGTTCGTATTCCATTCTGTTCCACGGATATCGATGCGATTAATATTTCTGTGTTCCTTGGAGAATAATAAAGGATCTCGTATACCTCTGGGCGTGGCGTGGCACGAATCGCTCCTAATTCCACTCGCATCGGTCTTTTGGATTTCTTTTATTGTAATATGCTTTGTGAAATTGTGACGGTTGTATGTGCATCGCGCATAAGTATAATTTTGTCTTTAATTTGCCTGTAAAAATTTTTATATCGTCCTAACCTCGTGCGCATTTTGTGACATTCTTGAGGTTATGTTGAAGAAACTGGACACTTGGAATATGTCTAGACAATATTTACTGTTGCACATATATTGGAGAATGCACAAACAATTGGTCTAATTTAACGTTTAAGCAGTAGAGTCTTTAAGCCGACATTTGTTATATGTCGATGTTTGCAAATAGTTGATGTCATTATTCATAGATTTGCGTTTATACATTTCAGAATGTAATTGGCTGTTTACAGATCTGGAAAGGTCAAGTCAATGTTGATAAACACAAGAATGCCGCTGCAACAAAAATAGAAGGACTCGGAATTATTCTTAATACAAGTATGGAAAAAAGGGGCAGCGCAGAACTTCTTAGTGTGGAGCAGAATAATTCTAAGAATGCCAGTTCGGATTCCCTCAACTCGGACAGCAAGAGCAGTTCGCTTAACTCAAAAATAGGCCAAGAATCGGTAAGATATTAAGTAAATCGGAATTGCATCTTATCTCTCTGTATCAAACTGCAAATGGACCCTTCTTTAGGAGAGCTGGGAAAAAGCATCGCATTCCAAAAGCTTTTCTTCAACCTCCACTTCAACAGATAATAATATAGTCTCTACTTTGGAGGCTAAAAGAGATAACCAAGTAAAAGTGAGTTTGCAGCAAACTCTTGAATGTAGCATGGTTTTTGTTTTTACATATACGATTGTGGCATTCTTCGTTTATGTAGTCGACAAAATACAGTTCCGTTGAAGTGCGGTTATTTCGTTTGACGTGTATAAAAATATATCTTTTGTTGTTGTCACTTTTACTTTGCGACACATTTGTCGCTACTATCCATTCTGTTGAAGTTACGCTAGAATATCCTTCTCTTTCGTTGCATGATGTTTGTAGCTAGTCAGTTATTCCGTTATTTTGACCAGAATTTGTCTGGAGGAGACACGGGACCACCGCTTTTGAACGGAGAACGAGTGCAGGGCATCGCGCACGAAGTTACCTACTTGTGTCCCTACTCGGGACCCGCCAGAGGAATCCTTAGCGTCACAAATTACAAGCTCCATTTTCGCAGCATAGATCGAGAAACGCCTTATGTCGTTGAAGTGCCGTTGGGTGTCGTTAGCCGGATCGAAAAGGTCGGCGGTGCATCCAGTAGAGGAGAGAACTCTTACGGGATCGAAGTGTTTTGTAAAGACATGAGGAATCTCAGATTTGCTCACAAGCAGGAGAATCATTCCAGACGGGACGTTTTCGAGAAGCTGCAACAGTATTCTTTTCCGCTATCACACAAGTTACCTTTGTTCGCTTTCGAATACTCGGAGACTTTTTCGGAAAATGGCTGGAACGTTTACGAGCCTATAGCGGAGCTGAAAAGAATGGTATGTAATAGATAAAAAGAAAAAGGAGGGAACGTGACGGGCGATTTGGAAAGTGCGCTTTACGAGCACGTAAATATGTTCGAAAGATGTATGGTTTTCCGTCGCATTTCAGGGTGTAAATAATGACATGTGGAAAATATCGAAAATCAACGATACCTATTCACTGTGCGACAGTTATCCGGCAGTCTGGGCGGTACCCGCCGCAGCAACTGATGAGGATCTTCAAGCGTCCGCGGGATTTAGGAGTAGAGGTAGACTTCCGGTCCTCTCCTGGATCCATCCGGAGAGTCAAGCGACGATCACTCGCTGCGCTCAGCCGCTTGTGGGCGTTGGGGGTAAGCGAAGTCGCGAAGACGAAAGGTACGTCCAGCTCATAATGGACGCAAACGCGCAGAGTCACAAGCTGTTCATCATGGATGCCCGGCCGATGCCGAATGCGATAGCGAACAAAGCGAAAGGTGGCGGATACGAGAGCGAGGACGCTTATCAGAACGCGGAGCTGGTTTTCCTCGACATTCACAACATTCACGTCATGAGGGAGAGTCTTAGGAAATTAAAAGGTATTGTACGGAGATACAATACCCCGCTTTGCTGCTACAAAATTCATTGTACTTTCTCACTGGCATCCGACTTTTCCTTTTTAGAATTATGTTTCCCTACAATCGACGAGGCTCGATGGTTGTCGGGAATAGAATCGACAATGTGGCTTAAGCATATCAAATGTGTTCTCGCTGGAGCTGTGAGAATCGTAGACAAAGTGGAGAATCACAAGACTTCTGTCCTAGTTCATTGTTCCGATGGCTGGGACCGAACGGCGCAGGTAGTGATAGTTTCAAACGATCTCAATATTCCGAAATTTGCATTTATTGTTATGTTACTATCGTCCCGTTTAGCTCACAGCCCTCGCAATGTTAATGCTAGACCCGTACTATAGAACGGTCAAGGGTTTCGAAGTTCTAATAGAGAAAGAGTGGCTCAGTTTCGGACACAAGTTTCAACAGGTACATCTTTGTACAAGTACTTCGAGTCGTGCGATCACATATCATGTGAAATATACTTTCCAACCTACGTTATTTTACAGAGGATAGGCCACGGAGATGAGCATCACAGCGATGCGGACCGATCTCCGGTGTTCTTACAATTTATCGACTGTGTCTGGCAGATTACCCGACAATTCCCCAACGCTTTCGAGTTCAACGAACACTTTCTAATCACCATTCTCGATCATCTCTACTCTTGCAGATTCGGCACGTTTTTATTCAGCAGGTACGCGCATTTGACTTACTCTGTCCCTCAAGATACACGAATCATCAGGATTATCGTTTACAGTGAACGCGAGAGGATGCAAGAGCAAGTGAAACAGAGAACGGTCTCCCTTTGGTCGTATACCAACAGCCAGCTACCTCTTTACCTGAATCCTCTGTATCGGTCCGGTCCCAACTATCAACTTGTTCTGATGCCGATCGCCAGTATGCGTTACATCAAGCCGTGGAAGACTCTCTACTGCAGATGGAATCCCAGCATGCGGCAGCAGGTACACAGAGCTGTCTAAACTCACCCTGACGAATTTCATTCTCTTGAAAACACGCTCGCGCACGTTTGTCTGTCTCAAGGACCCCGTCTATCAGAGAACAAGGGAGCTTCTAGTCTTGAAAGAGCAACTCGAGAAACAGTTGGAGGAAGGTCGACGCGAACAGGCCTCGCGGGCGAATCGATCTCTGACCTCGCCGGCGCCGCCGAGGATACATTCCCCGGTCCACTCATAGCGCAGCAGGAACCCCGACCGTCTGACGATTTGTAGTTTTGTAAATGAGCTGTAAACTTGACCCACTCCTTCGAGCCAGTACAAGATGTTTGATTGACTGAACTCCGTTTGGATGCTTATATACAATATGGCCCACTCGATAAAGGCAGACATTGATATTCAAAAGCGAGAGCGCCTTTGTAGTTCAGTTAATTAATCGCAACCGGTATATATGTATAATGGTTCTCTTTCCACGTGACTATATACCGATTATAATATCGATACGCTTATCTCTTACGAGCTATGTTTCGTCAAGTTCGAGCGTGGTCTCGTACGAACATTTATTAGACGTGTGATATGGAATGCGAGAAAGTACATCGCCGTGTAAAGCCGACTCTATTTTACTAGAGACGCATTCTCATTCAATCCTTCAGACGCACAAATAATTAAACTAATTACCAGCAATTATGCTAATTATATTAATGTGTCTCTATATTGCGGTGTTGCGCTCAATTTATCATTTCATTTTTTGCGCTGCAAGAATTTTTGTATCAACAATATATACGGCGTTTCCGACATCAAGCTCAACGCGTAGGCGCAAAAGTAACTAATCGCCAGGTTCCCGAGAAACAGGGCTGCCTGAAAGCAAAATTACAACACCGATAAGTTTGCCTCTCGAGAATGAAGAGTGAGAATTTGGGGATTCACACTCACTGTAGGTAGAAAGTCCGCGTGCACGTTCGATTCTCTGTGCAGATGAATCGAACTTATGATGAAGGGATTTAATAGGTAAGCGCAGAACGTGAGTCTGCTTAAAGGGATCCAGCCCTTGAACGACAACAACTGATTGACTATGCCTGTAATAAGCATTCGAGTGTTAGAACACATTTTTCCAAATGATTTGCGGCTTGTTGAAAACAAGAGCGTTTTAAAAAAATCGGAACGGCGGAGAGAGATAACCAAGTAACCCGACCTCCGTGTTTAGTATAACACGCTAGTAAAATCCATGCCAGACCTATCGCCCAGACCGTTCTGCTTAATGCGACGTAAAATGCGGCAGCGAGAACAGATATGTGTCGCTCGTAAAGGCCGAACAACACGGATATGTTGCAAGCGCTACCAAGGCACCAACACAAAATTACAGTCCTCTGGAATTCACGTCAATTTTAAGGTATTGTACTCCAACTCTTTTGTTGATTTTTCATTTGGAGAGAGAGAGAGAGAGAGAGCGCAAACTTTCTCTTAAAAGTATCAATTATATCTTACCCTTTTTAAGATCAATTTTTTGTTCAGTTTTAGTATTACATAAGCCGTAATCATTCCGATGATGTAAGGACCTATTCTGGTCCACGGCGGGTCGTACAGAACGTCCAAGAGTCTGTATTGTTCGTCCAGCCTGCGAACCATAAAAGAGGTACGCACATTTAATCGATCCCGCGGTTAACAAGACGTTTTTCTCGCAAACTTACGTCGGCACGTAGTCGTTAACGTATGAGATGTAACCGCTGAGTACAATCGTGCCTATCAAGAGTATGCATAGTATGACGACTGTCGTGTAAAAGTATCTGAAACTCACAAACTATATATTTGTTCTGGAAATATGACGTACAGTGCACCATGCCGATTGCGTTAAATATCGGCGAAACGCGAATCGGCCGGAACTTACATGGTCGACAAGATCAGTAGAATAAAGCCGATTACGAAGAATTGCATATCATTGGAAAGGTACCAACTCCAGGACATGCACTGCAAGAGTGAATGAAAGATTGCAAGTAAAAATGTTATACGCGGATGCACGTTCTTACCATCGAGCTACGACTGAACAGATTGTTTATGTACAAGAGATTCCTCCACCAGTATTTGGCGCATGTCTCGTACGGTCTTTCGTTCATGTAAAACTGCGAGGTCTTGTTGTACCAGGATGAATTCAAGTACACTATTCCTATCGTCATCATGTAAGCAGGTGTCAGCCTTAAAATGAATTTTCAAGTTACGAAGGGTGGTCATTATCATCTAATTCGGCGTTGAGTTGAATTTCTCAATTTCCCTTCTTATATCCGCGTGTTTTACGTCGTTTGCTTTTGCTCACTATCATACTGTTCATTATTCGGGCGAATTGAGATAACGACGAACGCACCGGAATAATCTCTTCGTTACGCCGACAAAGAACTCTTTCAGCTTGGTCGTGTAATTAATCGGCTCGGTCTGCGTTTTGTGCATTGATTCCCGATGTGACAGATATGTGTAGGCCAGAAGAAATCCGCTCAGAAAGAAATAAGTGTCGACCGTTAATGTCGAATTGCTGAGTATTTGAACGGCGAAACCGCTGTTGCTTTGTCTTATAATCCAAGGCATATTGTCTGCGAAGTAAATTTCATTGGACATAAAAGATGTGTGTGTATGTGTATACGGATATACGATTGAAAAAGTTCTTAGTTCACTTGCCGATGTAGTCAATCGAGTAATATAAAGTGTGAACCATGATTATCCAGACCATGCCTAGAAATCTCAGGCCGTGTATCACGGGTATCGCATTGGTGGTCAGTTCTGTGTCGAATATAATTCGTGTGTTTGTGTAAACGGAAAAGCACACTAATACTTGTCCGATTTTGTTTTCCTTGCGTAGAAACGAGGACACCGGTTCCGGGTCTTCCAGTACATCTTTCGCATCGCTCGCGTCGCAATTCGGTATCTTTAGGGACGCTGATATGAAAGAAATGAACGTTCTGCAATCCTTTATATGTATAAGTGTAACGTATATAATTTGTTCTTAAATTATAAAGAGAAACGGAAGGTGTGTTTCGGAAAAAATATTTACAAGTCGTATTCTCGCGATAAGTGCAAAGAAAATTTTTCGCTTTCAAGTACTTCTGATACACGAATATATCGTATATCGTTCCGATTATCATCAAGATCCAAGTGAACGCTAAAACGAACCTGCAACCAGAAAACTCGCATATACTGTAATGAAATTAATCGCCTATACAAGATTTTTTTTTTCTAATAATATGTATATATCTTACCCTATGAAAAATATTGCCCCACTGAATAACCATTGATGATCGTCTTTCAGATCTTTGACTTCAACCAGTTTAAAATCCGCGGAGTAAACATTACCAACCAAAAGAGTTCTGTCGCGAAATATTCCTTCCAGAATGAAGCCTAGATCGTTCGTAGAGCAGGATGCCGGTAAACAGAGGCCGAGAGCAATTAAATCCTGATAAAATACAATTTTTTATACGACATATCTCCTGATGCAATGTTCCGGTTTTTTTTCCATCAACATCGTTGGAGATAAGATATTATTCTCCGAAGCAAATGTACGTCTTAGCAAATTAGCATCTAATACGTGCAATTAGTATATCGTTCGATATTTTTTTTTTCGTCCGTGAGAGAGAGAGATTAATATTTTGCCGGCAGCTGTGATGTACGCGTGACTTCTTATCGCCAGTGGTGATGCTTCATTCCGATGTTTTCATAAGTACACATACTGATGCAGAGCAACAATTGATGAATAAGGAACAGTAGTGGCGAGCAGTAAAACCTGCGTGAATCTCGCCGGCGGCAGCGTAACGGCGATGCGATAAATGGGCGGCCGGCAAAGTGTTAGGTTCGTGTTTGATTTGACTGACAATTAAAAACGATGTGCCAACTTTTAGCGCACCACTTATAATTTTCTCCTTTTACGATTTGCGCCATGTTACGCCACAAACCTATCACGGAAAAAAGGAATCAGCTATCCACATAATACAACTGAAATTTAGTTACCAGACTGAATTTTTGGCCGTGGGAGTTAAAAACTAGATAAAAGGACAAAAAGAATTAGCTGAATTAACGAAATATCAGTTGTATCGTATGGATAGCTAATTTTTATTTGCGCGAGCTAGTTTTTACCTATGAAAGCTATTTTTTTTCGAGAATCAGGTTTTAAAAGTGCGCTCGGACCCGGTTGCAGCCTCGACGTTGATTAGCTGTCAAATTTAATTATCACGCTTTTCCTGCGCTAGTTTTTATATAGATGTAATGCAATGTAGATGCAATTATTATTTGAATTGACAATCTAGGATTGATTAATAAGCATGTCGTCATTGCAAAACGGGTAAACAATAAAAAACAAGAGATTTGCATCAAAATTCGATGTTTAAACAAACGAATTAAAAATAACATGTTCTTTTGTTTATTTATTTTCGCGATAAAGAAATTTACTCACCTCATTGGTTAACGTACTGTGGATTTGAAGAGTACTGTTGTGCCTGAAACGAGCGAGGAAGTAATGTACTTCGAAGGGTGGAACTTCTTCTCGCGGGTCGCGATATAGCGTAATATTTAATATTTCGCGTTCCGCCAGATCCAGAGGATCTGAAATCATCGTGTCCTGGCATTGGCTACGGCTACCCAGCCAGAAGTTGTTTCCATAAAGGAAACCCGGTTTAGGCCCGCCGCTGGAGTCTAGTACTTTAAAATGAACAAAATAGACGGTCGTTATTATTTGAGAAGTGAGAATTTCAGAAAAACAATCGAGATCGGCGAAACGTGTTAACAGTATAAATGTATGGTCGGTCACAAAAAGATTGCGACACTTTTCCTTACAAGTTTCGGAACGTATGCCGTGTCCAATAAGAGAATTTGTTTTCTAGTAATTTTCAAGAGGGACATTTTTTTTCTATGTGATATGAGGCGCGTTGCAACCTTTCTGTGACTCATGACACGCATCGTACTGATACACGCGCATCGTACGGCATTCACTTTGGATTCATTTTGGATTCTCTTTGCTGAGCGAAGAACGATATTATATAATCTGGGTTGCGACGCTTAATGAGTCAATTATACATCAACTTTCGCGTTTCTGCCTCATACAATAGTTTTCTCGTAGAAATGCGACGATAATAGCGAGAAATACCCGAAATTCTGCACTCACATTGCGGAAATATTTGACAAAGATATGTAAATGATGTGTACTTAAGGCCATCTACCGAGTTAATGCGTGTGTTTAAACGGTGACATGAAAGACATTACGTGGCGATTACGTGGCGCGATACAGGGTCCTCGAGACTAAATGAGAGAAAATCGCGCGCAACGGACGCTTTTCCCGCCTAGTCATTCAACTGGGAAACTAGTTCCTTGTGTAACGCGAAGAAAGTCGATTCGACGAGCTGGTCTAACGAAAAATCGTAAATTGGCACAATCTGGTATCTGACATTTGCCAGTTACCACGTAATTTAATGCACTTATGCAGAATAAGCGTTGCATAAGGAATGACCGAGTATGTTCGGAATGCGAACGGCTCGCGAACAGCCGAGCGGCACTCTCATGCTATTGAGAGCGGATTGCTGCAACGCGAGTTAGCAATTTGAGTGGATGCCGTTTTTGCTTTTTAGGCTCGTAATTTTCATTTACAGCGGATTGCGTGCACATGCGAGGTCCGAACGCCAGCGAAAACCTGTTTGAATTGATGACGGTGGATAAAGTCCGGGATTTTCATACTTTTGTATCTCAGTTTTGCATTTTGAATTGTCTTGTGCGATAATCTTTGTTTTTCCGTCGATTTAAAATGCTTGGATTTCATTGTCTTGTCGCGATATATCCGAGTGGTTGCGAAATCTACCAACTTTTGAGACCCCATAGTATCCGATGGTCGACGGCTTTACGGAAGTCCCGCAATTCCTCCTTGCACGTTGTCGAATTGAGGAGATCGGCTCTTGAGGCGATGGCATAGGCGGGCAGGAGGCGGTTGTTCGTGTCGTTGGATGTTTCGATTTGCTTGGCGGCACAAAGTAACACGAGAACAATCACGCGGATACACGAGAGGGACGATGATCGCGACATAATGCGGTCGACTCGGAGGAAATGCTGCTGACAGAATGAAGCTGAGGAAACGCTCCTTTGGACTTCCTTATCTTCGTCTTCCTTATCTTCGTCTGTTCTTATCTCGCCGAACCCCGTCTCTATCAAACGCGTTAGCGCAACATTTGCATTTTATCTATCTGGCTATTTCCTTATTAGTAATAATTGCACAATGATGGAACGCAATGATCAGCGAGATTCGACGACTGAGAGAGGACTGGCTGATACAAGAGTAACCTCGGACTTAACGCGCGGACTTGAAGTGGAAAGCGAAGCGTCCTTGTCGTTGACGTCCTCAACGTCGCGACGATGCCCCACCACGTGTCATTTGTGTACGAGGTATCACTCAGACGTGATCCCCGGCTGCGAGAATAAATGAATTGAGCGAAGAGCCGCTGGAAAGCGGAAAGAAGTATCTCTCGCTTCAGACACATTTCAGTTTCCGTTGCGTGTCTCGCGACGTATTCAACCCTTACCGATATTTACCGATATAGACGTTTTTTTTCTCTCAAACTCGAGGCATCCGAATGCAGCGTATACGGAGAGGGTAACTCCGGCGTATTTACCGCGCGAGGATTTATGCCGTAGAAATCAGAAAAAGTAGAAAGAGTGGGAATGATTTATCTGCAACCACTTTGTTACATACCTTTATATTATGTTAGCATTGTATTATGTGGTTTCAGTTTTTTATTGTTAATATTAATGAAACCCTAATAAATTGATTCGATTTTTTAATGTAGTAAGTAGCGCAATCGTACATTACGACCTGCTTAAAATGATTACTAATGATAAAACGATTAGGGGATGTACAAGGCTTAATGATTATTTTGCGATGCATAAGTGTAGAGGGATATTAAAGGATAGGATATAGCAAAATACACAAGTCCTTAGCTCTTTGTTTAGCTTAATGTCTTGTTCACCCCCTGTTTAGGATATACGGCATTTTTAGTCTACAGGATTTGTGTTGCAATACAGATGCTTTGTAAGGAAGCATTTCAGTTTATACAGTAAATATTGCAAATATTATTACATTAATGTCTGTAGGACAGAATTTTTATTTATGTCAAATATTTATAAATTACTTTTACTATTACTTTTTGTGTATTTATTTCTCATTTTTATATAATAAACTTACCTAATACACTTTTTACATATATTTTATAAGTTACTTTATCATTTTATATTTTATTTATAAATATTATTATTTTCCATTCCATGACATTGATTATCCGGTTCTCTTGTCTGTCATTAATATTAATTTTCCGCCTCCTAGTTGTTCATTAATATTCCTAGATATCTATAAATTTTATGCAATGACATTTATAAATCGCTACCGAGCGATTCGAGCTCAGAATTCTTGCGTACGTACAGAATATATAAAAACACAGATATAATAACGAGCGAGATAAAACTCGTCATATGGGAAGGACCACGAATGGTAAATTTTTTTTATAAGCTGTATATAAATGTTCGTATATTTTATTTCTATAGGTTTTATGGCAAAAATACAAGGATTTCTAAAAATTTTTCTGTTAAATATAAAGAGTAAATTGTAAAATAATAAAAAATAAATATTCTGTTTCCAACTTTTTTTTATAGTAGTAGACAATATACAGTTTTTATTTATATAGTTCATTTGCCTTAAATATAATAATAATACCTGAGAAATTAAATTTCCCTTAGATACAGCGTATATATACAGGGTGTCCCAGACCACCCGTCTCACCCGATTTTTTCGTAAACGCGACATTTTAAAGAAAAATGTTTCAGACAAAAGTTTTGTGACTTCGAGGGGCACATAAGATGGTGTCATTGGTTTGACCTTGGATAGTCGTTTGAAGATCACGTGAAGGTCACCTTTAATTTCTTAAATGGAAACCCCCATTTTTCAATGCATATTCTTGTAGCTTACCTCGAGAGCTTTCCAAAACGCTATAATGAAACGTTTTTTTAATCAGTACTTTTCGAGTTATGAGGATTGAAAGTTACGGTACCGCCGGCATTAGCATTACCCAGTCGTGATGTATGACATGTCTGATACTGTCACGTAAGGTGTAACAAAATTCTCATTTACCAGCCATGTCGTATTCAAACGCGGAAGCTTGTGATATGATGCTTATTTTAGGTGAATGTGATGGTCAATTTAGAGCAGCTGCAAGATTGTGGCGAGAACGATACCCAGATCGCGCTCCTCATTCGTACAAAGTTTTTTCTCGCTTAGCTAACCGAATTACCAATAAAGGTATTCTTCAACCGGATCACAATAAAGGTAGACAAATTCGACGCCAAGTTAGAGATGAAAGGATGCCGGAGATTCTTGCATCCGCTCAATTGCATCCCTGCCATTCATTAAGACGTACAGAAAGAGATTCTGGAATTAGTCGCAGCACGATCTGGCGAATTTTCCATGAAAACAAGCTGCATCCGTTCTTCATGCAACAAATAATTTCGAGAAAAGAGTACTTGCTTGCATTGAAGCAAACGGTGGACATTTCGAACACCAGGCCTAATAACATCAGCCACACACACACACACACACACACGCGCGCGCGTACAGCAGAGAGGGTTTGGAGTCGATAAATACTACGGGAGTGACGAACCGTGGGGTCCTTATCTCTGTTGACACACACACATTCACACACACAAACATACAAACACACAAAGAGGTGTAAATCCGACCGTGCAACCTCCACCTTGGGTAATGCTAATGCCGGCGGTACCGTAACTTTCAACCCTCATAACTCGAAAAGTACTGATTAAAAAAACGTTTCATTATAGCGTTTTGGAAAGCTCTCGAGGTAAGCTACAAGAATATGCATTGAAAAATGGGGGTTTCCATTTAACAAATTAAAAGTGACCTTCACGTGATCTTCAAACGACTATCCAAGGTCAAACCAATGACACCATCTTATGTGCCCCTCGAAGTCACAAAACTTTTGTCTGAAATATTTTTCTTTAAAATGTCGCGTTTACGAAAAAATCGGGTGAGACGGGTGGTCTGGGACACCCTGTATATACCGGACTTACACTATATCCTCTGTACGGCACGGTTAAATGAGAAAGCGTTATTGCCTAAAAAGAGCAGTTGTCGAAACCGCGAAAATCCATGTATGATTGAAACACACTTTAAACCGCGGTCACAGGTCGCACGGAACGGAGACTTCTGTCCACGTAATCGAATGCATAAACCGTGTCTTCTTGCTATTCATACATGTAATAAGTGTCCCCTCTTACGCAACGGGATTTCACCTGCCAACTTCCTTGCTTTTTTCGTCCTTCCCATATGACGAGTTTTATCTTGTTTGTTATTGTATCTGTGCTTTTATATACTCTGTACGTGCACAGGAATTTAGCTCGAATCACTCGCTGGTGGTTTGTGAATGTTAATTAGGAACTACAGTGAAAATATTAACTACTGACAGGAGAACCGGACGATCGACCTTATGAAATTGAAAATTTAGATTTTAACTAGAATCAATAACAACAATAGATTGGCATAAAAATGTAAATGGAGTCAAATAAATGAATTAAAAAATGTTCAGTTGGAGCGGAAAACAGTTTGAAGAAGTGAAGCAACCTTTTAAAGATACAGAGACTTTTGTTTCTTTTTTTCATTTTTTCATATATTTTTTTCATGTATTTTTTTCGTATATTTTTTAATTTTTTCATATATCTCACAAGTTAAATGAAATATCAGAAAGATATAATCTGACATATTTCTTTTATAACATTTTTATGTCCTTTCGTCGTCTAAAATTAAAGTAATTTTAATAAAGGAAAATTTGGAGAGCATTTTAAAATAATATATTGACACGGATAGTACTGCTACCTTTACAAAAAAGTATTACCGCCTATGATAAGTTGGCCAGTAATATATTACTGTTGTTCAGTAGTTTTATTATGTTATACTTTTATTATATTAATATGAGCAATAATATAATAATTTATCATTGACCAATTTTTATCATACGCAGTAATATTTTTTCGCAAGGGAAAACTGACCGACAAAAAATCGTCAGGTGATCGAAGAGTGTGAAAGGTGTAAAGAATTCATGGCAACGACTTGACCTGTACTTTGACTGCATAGTTGGAACCGACCTTCATACAGTGATTATATCACATAAGAAAGATCGATTTCCATTATATCATTAAAATATGATTGAATCAAAACATGATTTAATTAAAACATGATTAAGTCGAAGTTAATTTTACACCTTTGTAAGTGACACTAATGGCATGTTTCGTAATATCAACGTTTATAAATCAGACGTCATTATTTCTTGTTGGTTAGATTACAGATTTATATAAAAATTGATCGCAATAACAGTATTGGAATCAACTTTTATATAAATCTGTAATCTAACCAACAAGAAATAATGATGTCTGATTTATAAACGTTGATATTACGAAACATGCCATGAGTGCATGCCATGAGTACCTGTGTACATATGATAAACATGGCAAACTGCTATTTGAATGTCGTGTTAAAACTACATAGATCCTGTCTTAGCGTTCCGCGGAGACATTCACTTTCGACATGATCCAGTTTGTTCTGTTACGATGGGATATCTGTGGCACAAGCCGCGAAATTGAAGCTCTATATGCTCGTCCGGAGAAATGTATATATATGTTTATGTGTGTGTGTGTGTGTGTGCATATTGCTTCCGGATCGCGGAAGCACTGAAAAACGAACGTCCACGGCGTGCCTTTCACCGAAAACCTGTTCTCATCCGATCGGAATCGCGCGTTTGTTACCTTTAGGGAGCTAAATCGCATCTTTTCTTTTACGGCGATGCAAGCACCGGCTGTACTGTGAAAGCGCTCGCATAACGAGCGCATAATATAAAACGTATTGATATCTCTCACAGCGGATGCGTTACGTCAACGTACGCGGATTTGTGTCCACGGCAGAGAAAGTATAATATCCTCCGTGCTTCCTGATTCTAGATTGTCGTATCGATCGATTCTTCCGATCGATTACGTCCCGGTGCGTTTAATAGCGCGGCGACATTACGACATCCCTCTTTTTTCAAGCGCTTTTATCTCGCAAGTCACTTTTGCCGACTGTATGACATGATGTTAATCGGATTCAGTTTTTGTTGTTGCGTAAGTCGAATCGACGCGAGTAGTATGGGGGTCTGTCGCAGCGCGGTAGAACGGAATTATCTCTCTTCCAAAAAATGAATTTGTCTTTATTCTGTTCCCGCCCGATACAGTATTCCGTGCTTGACCGATAGCGTGTCGGTACCCGGGAGCTGAGAATCCAGAATCGCCTCCTGAATTCGGTCTCGAGTCCTTTTTATTCTCCTCCAGTATCCCAAGCAGGGGGGGGGGAGAGTAGTTTTGATGTGTCAGCGTTGTGCAGACCATTTTAATATTGCACTCGGAAGAGTGCAGAGTTGTATCTTTGCAAGGTTACATCTCGCAACCGTGATGACGTGCAAATATGATTAATCTAATCTGCGACTATGACTTTCAATTTTTTACGGTAATCGACACGTCTCATAGTTGTGCATATAATTGATTCCCTCACTGTTTTAGTTTTTGATTTCAGTCGTATTTGTTATTCATAAAGTACAAGATTGAACATGTTATTGCTATCATGAAATTTTGATGACTTGATGCTCGAGTGCAACACGGATAGGGAAGGGATTTTGCGAGAGTTATCGAGAACTGACACGTTTTTTTTTCAAGATGTTATATTATCAGCACATGGAAGTTTTTCGTAATCATCCGGCAAAGTAAAGATTAGACGAAATATCAACAATCGTGTAAATCAGGAAGGGTGTCGTCACGGTGCGCAGTCCGCGGCTGACACCTCCGCGAATGAAAGTAAAAGTCGTTACAATACAATCGATAATACAGGTAATAACGGTATCTATCGTTACAATATCATAAAATATCACAACATTAATATCTGCTGGGCAACGAAACGACTTCGCGGTTTTCTGTGTGTGTGGCATTTTCTTTTCTTTTTTCGGCGAACGGGCGAGTGCGACGTCGTAATCTCCGCCGTTATTCTGGCAACGAAAGAACGATATTTTACGCACTTCATCTCTTTAACGTGGCGACGTACAAAAACGAGGAATCGCTTGTGTCCTACTCGGGAGGAATACTCGCACAAAGTCACTTCACCGTGGGAGTGATCTATCCAATAAATTAATTAATGTCAATCGGCGAAGGCGGGGCGAATCCTCTGCTACGGCAAAGTCGTGACTCTTGGGTATTGCGCATATCTTACAAATAAAAGTAGCTATACACAACGTGTTTCGAACGAAAAAAATAACTTTCGTGCGCATCCACGAGGAAGCTTATGGATCGACTAGCGTTTTAACTCACGACTACCGTGATTGAGGGAACGAAGTAGCTGATACATACGGATTGATATTTTTCCTGCTGATAAATTGCGACAATATAATTAATGATTATTATACTTTATAACGCTCTGCGCATGATCGCAAGTTCTTGAACGTTTGAAATTTATTCTATTCAAGATGCAATTGCCATATCCGTAAGTTTTTCTCATAGTAAATGTCTTTTCATTGTACTTTTTTTCTTACTTTATCGAATGATGTATGACTTGGAGTCGGATTCGACCTCATTATTGCAGCAGTCGAGAGTTAATTCGAAAGTCGTTGTCGTGACAGGACTCGCAAGCGACACGATATAAATTGTAGACGTCCTAGAACGATACTCGACGTAGCGGCTTTATCTGACCAAAACACCCACAGTAGCGATCTTCCTCTGATTTTAACGCGCTCGGAATATGTTATAACTTGTAGATGAAAGTATAAGTATGTATTTTATTTTTTACATCTATGCAGATTTTAAGGGCTAAGGTATCCCTGATAAAATCGGAGGAAGACAGTATCGTGAGTGTCCTTGTGATAAGGAGGAACGCGTACGTGCGTAGAAAATGAAGAGAAAGGAACATATCGATCTATATACGAAAATATAGAGCGTGACGCCTGTTTTTTTATCAAACGCGTGATTTGCGCGTTCGAATACATCGATCTGCCGTCCAAACATCATAATTATTATTTCTAATCGTCTACCGTTAGCGTAATTAATCGACTTGATCTTCAAAGCAAGACCCGACGGGAGACGTCACAGAAGTTTTCAGGAGGAAGGGAAGGGGAGGGGGGGG